TGGAATACACAGAGTCACTGAACCATAAAGAATTGATTGATACTGAAGAATTTCAGCAAGTACTATATGAACAGGAGCCAATGGTAATGAAAGAGGAAGTGGAACCTGCATTGAAGGCATTGGCAAAAAATAAGGCCCCAGGAATTGATAAGATACCAATTGACTTGCTTTAATTAAGAGATGCAGCCTTGGATGCACTCATCAGTCTATGCCAGGAAATTTGAAGGACAGATTGGAAGAGGTTCCTATTCTTAAGAAAGGTGATCCAATTGAATGTGGAAATTATCAAATAATACCATTGATATCACATACAAGTAAAATACTGCTGAAGATCATCCAAAAAGGGCTGGAACAGTATATAGATATGGAATTGCCAGAAGTTCAGGTGGGATTTAGAAAAGGTTGTGGCATAAGGGATATCATTGCTGATGTCAGATGGATTCTGACTGAAAGTAAGGAATACCAGAAGGATGTCTATTTGTGCTTTATTGATTATGCAAAGGCATTTGACTATAAATCATGACAAGTTATGATGACATTGAGAAGAATGGGAATCCCAGAACACTGGATTATGTTCATGAGGAACCTATACCTGGATCAGGAGGCTGTTGTGTGAACAGAGCAGGGGAACACTGCATGGTTTGGAATTGGGAAGAGAGTGTGTCAGGATGTAGTCTATCTCCATACCTGTTCAATCTTTTTTTTTTTGCAATAAAAGGACTTTACTTCATGAATACTTGTTGCTACTTTTTTTTCTTTTTTTTTAAATTTAGGTTGTTTATTTTTCATTTCAATGAACATCTACAGAGATTTTGGGATTCCATTCATTCATTGTTGCACCCCTCTCCCCGCACAAACCCCTCCCCCCTTCCCCCCATTTGCTCCTCTCCTTGAAAAGCAAAAGAAAAACTCCCCCATTGGTACACAATCCCCCCACCCCCTAGCCCCAAATATAATCCACTCTGCAACCCTCATTGCATACTCCTACGATAAAAATAATGCCCTAAAATATAATACTTTTAGACTATTCTCTCTCCCATAGATTTCAATGCCGTGAACATATTTCATCCAGTTTTTCTCAGTCTTACCCCCACCCCAATGCCAGCCTCATTCTACAACAGTGGCACCATGTAGCATTTGTCCCTTTGTGACTGAGATACCTCACTCAGCATAATGTCCTCCAGGTTCACCCATTTTGAATAATATTGCATGAGTTCCTTGTTTTTCAATGCTGTTCAATCTTTATGTTGAGCAAATTACTTGAGAGGCTGGATTCTCTCAAGATGATTGTAGCATCAGGATTGGAGGGAGACTCAATAACCTGTGTATTGCAGATGACACAACCTTACATGCTGAAAGTGGGAAGGACTTAAAGCACTTGTTACAGAAGATCAAGGAATGTGGCCTTCCATATGGATTGTGTCTCAGTATCAAGAAAACAAAAATTCTTACCACTGGACCAATAGGCAGTGTCATGACGGATGGAGAAGACACTGAAACTGTCAACAACTTTCTCTTGCTTGGATCTACACTTAACACCCTTGGTACGAGCAGTCAGGAAATAAGGAGACATGTGCACTGGGAAAATCTGCAGTTAGGGACCTGTCCAAATTATTCAGGAGTGGTGCTGTCAGTTTGAGGAATAAGGTGCGTCTGATTCAGGCCATAATCTTACCAATTACTTGTTATGCATCCGAGACCAGGACAGTAAATAAAGAGGACAGAAAAAGAATTGACGCTTTTGAGCTGTATTGTTGGAGAAGAGCACTGAACCTCCTATGGAAAGCCAAGAGAACAAATAGATATGTCTTGGAAAGGGTAGAGTCTGAGTGCTCTTTGGAGGCAAGAATGATGAGGCTTCACCTCACACACTTTGGACATAGGAGGGGCTATTCCTTGGAGAGGGAAATGATGTTGGGAAAGGTCGAGGGTTGGTGAAGAAGAGGAAGACCCTCAACCAGGTGGATCAACATGTTGACTGCTGCAATAGGCTCTTGTGGTCAGGAAGTGTGAGGATGGCACAGGACAGGGCTAGGTTCAGATCTATTGTTCATAGAATTGCTGTGAGTCATATTCGATTTCATGGCACCTAACAACAACAACCCATCTATTTTGATTACGAGACATGATGCTTGAGCTGTCAAAGGCATTAAGTGAGTGTCTTTCTTGTTAATTAAAATTAAACATCTTCATCAGCCACATCTATAGTCACCTGAGTGAGGCTTCTAGTGTGATATTGGTGGTCCAAGTGGAAGCTTTTTCAGGGCTTGAGTCATTTTACTCTTTTGCCTGTCCACCAAAAAATATTAGTGAGCTGAGATTCGAGACTGTAAAACCTTATGCAGCAGTAGAGCAGAATTTACAGAAGGAAATATCAGTAGATTTGAGCACTTTAAAATGAAAATGTCTGTAGGTTATAAAATATAAAAATTAAATTTAAAAGGAATGCAAATGATTGATAAAAATGTATGACAAGTACATATAAAAGCACATCACCCTTTCTTATTAAAATGGATATAAATAACTTGAAAAAAAATGACAAAACTCTGAATGAGTAAACAAAGGTAATTAAGCATATAAAAATACTCAAATTCATAAATAATAAAAATATTAAAAATTGCAAATATGTCATGTACTTTATTAATTCATTTTAACATGAAATCATATATATACATTGTCACAAAAAGATAATAGGTTTTTCTTTTATTATCTAGCACTTTACAATTTATTCTTCCTTAAGATGTTGTTCATATATGTATATGCCCCTTTCCTTTCTTAGAATCTCCTATTTTAGTTCTCTCCCTTAATATTTTAATTAATATGTAGCCTCATTGCATTTAAATTCCTTTTTCAGTGAAATTCCAAGTGAATTCTCCAATAGAAATCAAATTACTTTGCTTCCAAGTACATTCAGATTATCAAATATGGCATTTGAAATTATCAGAAATCATATGCACTTCCATCTTTACTTACTTAAAAGTAAAAGTAAAGTAATCCATACTTTAGTTACTTAAAAAATAACTGAGAACATTGCAGTGGAATTAGGTGTGTCAGAGTCAGTGAGACTGGCTCAGGATATGGCAGGGTTCAGATCTGTAGTATGTAGGGTTGCTGTGAGTTGCAGGAGATTCGACAGCACATTATAACAACAGCTCTGCAGTTTTCCACACTGATTGTCATCTCCCTCATTCCTGTCTCCGTTGTCACACTAAATTCCATAAACATTGATTCTGATCTTAATTCCTGTTTCCCATCGAATTAATGTTTCCACCCTTTCAATATTTGTTACTTCTAATGCTACTTAATAATAAAATACCACATACTAGACTAATTGCTTTTTTAAAAAATCCTCAGATTTATGCTATATACTCAATACATTCAAACTTCCTTTTCAAATCTACATTTCTTTTTTGCTTTATATGTGTATGCTGAATATTCTTATTATATTTTATGAATTTGAGGATTGATTGTGACTTAAATTTCTCTGAAAGGAGCTTTGAAACAGTATAGGTAAGTTGTCAGGTGCAGTGGAGTCAAGCACTCCTCATAATGACTTTATGAACAACAGACCTGAATCTTATTATCCTGTGCCATCCTCATCATCTCTGATACACACTAGTCCATTACTGAAGTCACTGTCAATCTATCTCATTGGAGATCTTCCTCTCTTTTTCTAACCCTCCACCTTTACAAACATAATATAGTTTTCCAAGGAATAGCCCCATCTAGCCATAAGTCCAGTTTAAGAGGAAGCTTCACCTCCTTGTCTCCAAGGAACATTCTGGCTGCACCTTTTCCAAGAATTATTTGTTTGTTCTTTTAGTATTCCATGGGATATTCAGTATTCTTCTCCAGTATAAAAATTCAAAGCCATTAATTCTTCTTTTATTATTAATTCCAATACAAACTCAATTCTGGATGCCTATTATTTTAAAATATGATCTTTTTTATTCTGTAAAAGCATGAAAAATAATGTCTAATTCATAGAAAGGTATGTATATAAGCAAACTCTAGTGTTATGTTTATCAAAGTGGATTCTCATTTTAAAACATTTTCCCCTTTCACATGTGCATATAAAATACTAAGTAAATAGGATTGGAATTTTTTTGCTTTGAATTTTAGTTTTCCATTATTTTTTGCTTCATTTTTGTTGAACAATATCTCTAGCTTTCTTTAATACTAATTATATATTAGTAATTTATTTAGTAATGAATAATTTTACCTTAGTGATTATGTAATTATACATTAGTGATCAAAATAAAACAAGAAATGGTATGAGGGATAATCTTGAAATTACACTTGTCATGTTTCATGGACAGCTATCAAATGATATGTAAACTTTCAAATAAACATAAGGAGTTTTCAATATAAATAACATTCTTTTCAATTAAGAATTGATAAGTTGCTATTACACAAACAGTCCCTATTTAGAGAACTCAATAGAAAAAATTAAAGATAAAGGTAGAACAAGACAAAGATAATTAAAAAGTACTAAAATGTTCTTAAAAGGATTATACATATTCTGTATAACTCTATTAAAAAACTTTCAACAATGCAAAGATAGTTTAGAAGTAAACTAAAAATGCACAGCTTACTCTTGATAGATTGTAACCTTAAATAATACATAAGAAATTGAAATGCATGTAAGTATGTAACATCGTGCCTAGGAAGCTGGTTTTTATTTCTATGATTTGCTGAATTTTATAAGAATTATAGCTAACTTCCCTTAAACAATTTGTACCCTTGTAGAACAAAATTTACTCTTGAGATATGTTACTAAATTAGATTCTGATATCCATTTTATCAGAATCTCTGCTTTTGAACTAATTAAATATTTTCTCCATTATTTGATGTAATAATTTAATCAGACTTTATTGCACTCTTTAGCTAATTTTATATTTGACATATGATATGGCCATTTTCTATTAGTATCCTTGATTTGAAAAAAAATGTGTGAAAATCAACATATTGTAGGGAATGAAAATTGTTTTAGAATGTTATTAGATTTGCTTTATAATTTTTTTCATAACATTTATTACTTCCTTATTTCTTAGACTATAGATAAAGGGGTTTAGTAAAGGGATAATGAGGGTATAAAAAATGGCAACTGTTATGTCATTGTCCCCATCTTTAGCTGAGCTTGGCCAAATGTACATGAAGAGAAGAGAACCGTAAAATAGTGAGACAGAGAGAAAGTGAGACGCACATGTAGATAAGGCTTTGCCTTTCCCCTCTCTAGATTTCATTTTGAAAATAGTGAAAAGGATGGAAAGGTAAGATATTAAGACTATGGTAACAGTAAAGATTTGAACAGACCCTGAAAAGATAAGTATCATCAGTTCATTGATAAAAGGGTCAACACAAGAGAGTCTGAGTAATGGAAGAATATCACAATAAAAGTGGTTGATTTGATGAGGTCCACAGAAGGTTAACCTTAGTAGAAGTCCTACATGAATCATGGAGTGCAGATTTCCAGCTATGTAGGCTCCAATAACCATTTGAATCCAGAGTTTCCTTGACATCTTGGTGTGATACTGCAGTGGACTGCATATTGCTAAAAAACGATCATAGGCCATAACTGCCAGCAGAAAGCAGTCTGTAGTTTCAGCAAAGCAGAAAAAATAAAATTGTGCCATGCATTCATAGAGGGAAATAATTTTGTCCTTGGAAAAGAAGTTCTCTAACATCTTAGGGATAATGGCACTGGAGCAACAGGAATCCATCAGGGCCAGGTTGCCCAGAAAGATGTACATTGGTGTGTGAAGACGGTGCTCCATGACGATCAATGTAACTAAACCAAGATTCCCCACCATGGTGACCAGATAAATGACAAAGAACACTACAAACAGAATGGTCTTCAGATCTGGTTGATCTGTCAGTCCCATGAGAATAAACTCATTTGTGAAGGAATGATTGTCTGTGGCCATCTCTTCTTTCTCTGTCGAGATAAGATATGTCAATTTAATGTTTTTTATATTCACTGCATGTTTTCTTGAAGAATCAGGAGTAGCAACACTTTTTCAAGCTTCTCTTGTCTCTGAAATACAAGGCACAAATACTTTAGGGAGAATATTATAGGATCACAATCACTGAAGTACAAGACACACAGAATATTTTTAAAATTGCAAGGAAATGCCTGTGGTGGAGTGATTTATAACTCATGAATTTATAGAAAAATACTGAAATAATACAGAGTTCTCTAGACATGTAGTTATGAATAGGTCATTGATTGTACAGAATTCTATAATTATCTCTCCAGTCTCATTTCTGTCTTCAAGTTCATGCTTTCCAACTCTGATCCTTCTTGCTTGTTTGGAATTCCAGTCACCCATTATTATCAAGGTATATTGGGACATGTTTGATTGATTTCTGACTGCAAAAGTTGGTAGAAATTATCTGTTTCCTCCTCTTTGACCCTGGTTATTGGTGCATATATTTGAATGGGAGTGGTATTAACAGGTCTTTCTTGTTTGCATATGGATAGTATCCTGTCACTCACAACATTTTATTTCATGATGGATCTAGAAATTGTCTTTTTAATGATAAATGCAACCATAGATTTTTTTACCTTTTCATTTCCAGAAAAGTAGATCATGTGATTATCTGATTCAAAATGTCCCATGCTAATACATTTTATTTCATTAATGCCTGGTATGTCAATATTTATATATTCTGCACCAGCAACTAGGAAATTAAAAGATGTATTGGAATGGGAAAGTCTGCTGTTAGGGACCTCTCCAAAGTGCTGAAGAGCAATAGGTCATTCTGGAGACTAAGGTACATTTGATACAGGCCATGGTCTTTGCAATCACTTGCTATGCATCAGAGAGCTGGACAATGTCTCAGGAGGAAAGAAGGAGAATTGGTGCCTTTGAGTTGTGGTGCTGGAAAAGAGCATTGGATGTACCATGGACTGTAAGAAAATGAACAGTTTCAACCTGGAGAGGGTTAAACCAGGCTGCTCCTAGGAGGCAAGGATTCTCAGGCTTTGTCTGACATAATTTGGACACGTTGCAAAGAGGGACCAGTCCTTGGAGAAGGACATCAGGCTTGGTAAGGTGGAGGGACAGCACAGGAGGGGAAGACCCTCTATGAGGTGGATTGATTCAGTGACTGGGGTAATTGGGGTGAGTGTGCCGGAGCAGTGAGATTGGCACAGGACAGAGCAAAGTTTAGGGCTGTTGTACATAGGGTCGCTATGAGTCGCAAGCAACTTGACGGCACATGACAACAATAACAACACATTTTCCTTAACAATTTCCAGTTTTCCTATAGTCACACTTCTCACATTCCATGTTCCAATTTGTAGTATCTCTTTGCAACTGTTGTTATGCAGACAACACAACTTTGCTTACTGAAACTGAGGAGAACATGAGATGTATGCTGCAGAAGGTCAAGGACTGTAGTGTAGTCCTCAATATGGATTGAAGCTCAACATCAACAAACAAAGTTTCTCACACCTGGACCAATTAGAAGCAACATGATAGATGGAGAAGAGATTCAGATTGTTAGCAGCCTCAGCTTGCTTGTTTCCGCACTCACCACTCTTGGTACCACCATTCAGGAAATCAAAAGATTAATTGCCCTGGGAACGTCTACTTGTCAGAAACTTCTCTAGAGTACTGAAGAGCAAGGGTGGCAGTCTGGAGATTAAGGTGTCCCTGATCCAGGCCATGGTCTTACCAGATAGCTTGACAATGACTAAGGATGACAGAAGAAGAATTGATACCATTGAGTTGTGGTGCTGGAAGAGTGTTGAACATATCATGGACTGCCAGGAGCACAAGCAGGTCAGTCCTGGAGAGGGTGGAACTAAGCTGCTACCTGGAGGCAAGGACTTTGAAACACCTTCTCACATACTTTGGGCACATGAGCAGAAGTGACCAGTTCTTGGAGAAGAATATCGTGCTAGGAAGGGTGGAGGGAAAGCACAGAAGAGGAAAATCTCAAATGAGATGGATTGACGCGGTAACTGGGGCAATGGAATAAAGTGTGTGTCAGTCAATGAAATTGGCTCAGGCTAGAACAGGATTCAGAGTTCTTGTATTTAAGGTGAGACCACTCTACAACACTTAACAACAACAATGCTAGAGATACTGTTCTTAGACATTTCAGTATACATTTTTATATTCTTTTTTTATAGTGTATGTTGTTGTGTATCATAGAGTCAGAACCAACCATAGCTGACCCTCTAGTGGATTTTCAGAAGCAGTTAATTGCATGAAAGGGGATTGCCTATCCTTCTCCTGCAGAGCAGCTTATGGCCATGAACTTTGTGCCTTTGAAAATGAACTGCAGCTTTTCATCAATAGGGTCTACATATTAAGATATATATTCATACAAACACACATATATATCAAGAAATCGAGTGAGAGTGAAGAGAAAGGAGGAAGAATCTTGGTAACTTAATGATTTATGTGCTGAAGTCCAACTTAAATGTTGGAAATTTGAGTCTAGTAGCTAATATACAGGAAAAAATTGGCAGACTCTTCTCATAAAGATTTATAGTCTTGGAAACTGTTGAAATTGCAATATTGCTGTTGTGTATGGTCAAGTTGGAACCAACCCGTAGGTGATGCTCCTCCAGGTTTTCAGAGACAGTAAATAGCTCAGGAAGAGATTACCATCTTTCTCCCACAGAGCATCTGAAAGATTCAAACTGCATGGCTTTGGGATTGCAGTAAACCAATTTGATGGTAGTTTATTGAGATATGGACCTCTCCAAATTATTGAGTAATAATGATGTAATTTTGAGGACTTAGGTGTGTCTGAATCAGGCCATAGTCTTTCTGATCACTTGCTATGCATCTAAGAGCTAATCAGTGAATAAGGATGACAGAAAAAGATTTGATACCTTTGAGCTGTAGTGTTGGAGAAAAGCACTGAACATGGATGGCCAAAAGAACAAACATATATCTTGGAGAGGATGCAGTCAGAATGCTCTTCTGAGGGAAGAATAATGAGGTGTCCCCTCACATACTTTGGGTATGTTGCTAAGCGGGCTATTCCTTGAGGAAGTACATGAAGCTAGGATGATTGGAGGGTCAACAAAAGAGAGGAAGACCTTCAACCATGCATTGACACGGTATCTGCTGCAGTGGGCTCTTATGTGTCAGGAAGTCTGAGAATGGCACAGGATAGAATAGGGTTCAAATCTTTTGTTTGTAGGGTCACTATAAGTCATACTCGATTCAATGGCACCTAAGAGGAAATATTACCAAGAGGTAAATATTTTTGATATGCAGTTATACTACTTACACAGTGGCTGCAACAATGATCTCAAGCACTGCAGGGATCTTGAGCTAGGCAGCATTACTATGAACCAGAATCCACTGTGGTGTCTCTCAACAACATATTTAAAAAGTGAATATTTAAAAACAGAATGTTACGAAATGAGTTTAATTTGAAATATTAAAGTGCATGAAGAAGTAGTGAGGAAGTGATTATTTAAAGATAATTACCTTGAAATTCTAAAGACATAAATATACATATTTCCTTAAGACATATATATGCTTCCTTAATAAGCTAATGGTTATATATTTTGCCATGAGAAATCAATTTTTCTGAGACTGTTGTTACATGCCATTGAGTCGCTTGTGACTCATAGAGACCCTATGTACAACAGCCCTAAACCCTGCTCTATCCTGTGCCAATCGCACTGCCTCTGACACACCCATCCCGATTACTCCAGTCACTGAATCAATCCACCTCATAGAGGGTCTTCCCTCCCTGTGCTGTCCCTCCACCCTCCCAAGCATGATGTCCCTCTCCAAGGAGCTGTCCCTCCTTGCAACATTTCCAAAGCATGTTAGATGGAGCCTCAGAATCCTTGCCTCCAAGGAGCAGCCCGGTTTGACCCTTTCCAGGATGAATCTCTTTGTTTTCCTAGCAGTCCATGGTACATTCAATACTCTTCTCCAGCACCACAGCTCAAAGACATCAATTCTCCTTCTATCCTCCCTAGTCATTGTCCAACTCTCTGATGTATAAAGTTTCTTTGCATAGAGTATCTTTGCAATGCAGTTTCTGAGACTTTCTTCCAATAAAAATATCTTCCTCTTTTATACAATTATTTGTCATTTCTAGCCTTAAGGGTTTCCATTGTTCTAATATTATGGGATATGTTGAGCATACTCCAATAATTATAACTACATTATGATAACTGATAAACAGTCATTATGTATCCTCTCCAGTTGAGCATACAATTTATTAGGTAGAACACTCTCCATTGTTGGGGGTTTTTTTTCATTTTTTTTCTTTTTTTCTCTCCATTGTTTAAATGCTTATTTACAGTTGAATTCTCTAATCGTTTCTAGATTTTTTAAAATATTCATTTCTCAGTGATTATCACTTCATCATATTGCCAGAACCAACTCTCTACTTCCAGGAAAATTTTAATATTTGTTATCTCTACAGAAAATTCAAATTCCATGGGATGGCTTTTAAGGTTCTCTTGAAACCTGATACACACCCATCTATATTTCATACAAGCAACAACAAACTTTTCTGACTTTTTCATCTTACTCACTTATCATGTTCAATTCAATTCTCCCTATCCCCAAAGCCATGTTATTTCACTTTCATAAACACTGACTCTGCTCCAGTGATTATTTCTTACAAATAATCATTCCAAATATAGATCTTTGACACTTTGACTAAATATCTGTACCTTTATCATCCTCAATTTAAGTAATAATTTATATGTTTAATAAGTTTGTTGTTGTTGTTATGTGCCATCGAGTCATTTGCGACTCATAGCGACCCTGTGGACAACAGCCCTAAACTCCGCTCTATTCTGTGCCAATCGCATTGCCTCTGACACACCCAACCCGATTGCCCCAGTCACTGAATCAATCCACTTCATAGAGGGTCTTCCCCTCTTGCGCTGTCCCTCCACCCTACCAAGCATGATGTCCCTCTCCAAGGA